AATGTCGAACTGAATCCTTTATTTCGTTCACTGGGGTAGACTGTTCTAGTTTTCTTCTTCATTTCAAGCTTTTTCTTTTCTTTATCTTTTATTCTTAATTTCTCTTTCTTTTTTTCCTTCATTTCACTTTTTTTTTCTTTTATTCATCATTTCTCTTTCTTTTACTTTTTCTTTATTTCTTTTTTTTCTTAATTTCTTTTCTTTTTCCTCTTTCTCTTTCTTTTTTCAATGCTTACGGGTTTTTCTTTTATTCATTTTTTCATTTCTCTTTTTAAGTTCTTTCACATTTTCTTCATTTTTCCCCCACTTATTCTTATTCCTTTCATGTTTTTTTCCCCTTCCTATCTGTTATATTTTTGTTCTTCTTCCTATTTTACTTCTTCTTTTTTGTTTCACACTTATTACTTATTTCTCCATATTTCTCCCCATTTCCACTTCTTTTTTCTTTTTTCCTTTTTCCTTTTTTTTTTTTCAAATTTCTTTTCTTTTTTCTTTTCTTTCTGCTTCCCCCTTCGCTTTTCAACTCATCTCTTCTTAATCGTCTTCTTTCTATCTCCTAGTTTAACACCCATCAGTCTCGTTCCTACATTCTCTAGCCACCCCGCCTTATTATTACATATTTGCCCAATCCTATTTATGTCTGCTTTGTGTCTCTCACCGAAAATATTGCCTTTACCTGCAGCTGTTCCACTGACCAGTGACCTGTGAAAAGGAAATAATGCATATGCGAGTACAGAAGGAAAAAAATATTTACTGGTAATGCACATGCGCAGAGACGAGCACTTATGCTGTAAATTCTCTTAGACTGATTCGCATAATAATTTAAATATACTTTCATATACATGCCGCAATACATACATGTATATAACTATACACCTTAATTCTATAAAAATAAAAGAAGCTCACTAATAGTCAAGCACAAGAATGCAATTATTTAACGTACATATGCTTTTATACCTTTATATTTTTACAATGATATTCACTATGTACAAGGCCAAAGAACACGCCAACGTAGAGGGTTAGATAAGGAAAAGGCTTTAGAAGCAACCGGAGACCCAATCCTAAACAGAAAACAAGAGATAAGCATCTACCCTGTTCAAATGACTGGGGAGGAGTTTGAACAGGGTAGGAGAACCTATCTACTCCTGTTTTTAAATGATGAAAAAAAAAGAAGTTATTTACTAGCAAAAAACATTTCTGAGTTTTTGACAGAGACATTAAAAGTGTAGTGTTGAAGAAGACTTTAGATGGAACCGGAAAACCAATCCCAAAAGGGAAACAAGAGATAAACCTCTAATCCGGTTCATTAAATGAGGAGGGAAGCTTATCTATTCAAGTTTATAAAAAAAAAAAAGAAAAAAAGAAAAAGAAAAAAGGAATTAACTAGCAAATAACATTTCTGAGTTTTCGACGGAGACTTTAGACGCGTAGAGTTTAAATAAAACTTTAAATTGAACCGGAAATCTAATACTAAACAGGAAACAAGAGATAAACCTCTACTCCGGTTCCTTAAATCAGGAAGGGACGCGTAAGACAATGATGTATCTTCTCACTGGACTTATTTAACCTTTACAGTGACGCGATTACGAGAGAATTAGAAGTTCTACAATGATTCAATATTGGTGGCCGCCATCTTAACAAAATAAGATATTCAGATGACACAGTGTTGATTGTAGATGTAAAAAAAAAAAAAAAAACTACAAATACTCCTAGAAAGTTAGCAGTTCCTTTAATGAGAAGACACCGTTCTTGTTCTACGCCCCTTTCTAATTTTGTGCATTTACTGAATTCATATTCTATCGAGGCGATATGCATCTCCATCTATTCAAAAGGCTGGGGAGGAATTTGAACTGGAAGATAGGAGAAGCTACTTACTCCTGTTTTTAAAAGTAAAAAAAAAAGAAGTAATTAACTAACAAATAATATTTCTGAGTTTTTGACGGAGACGTTAGAAGTGTAGTGTTGAAAAAGACTTTAGATGGGAGCAGAAAGCCAATCCCAAACAAGAAATAAGGGATAAACATCTAATCCGGTTCATTAAATGAGGACGGAAGCTTATCTACTGAAGTTTATAAAAAACGGAATTAACTAGTAAGTAATATTTTAATATTTTCGACGGAGACATTAGAAGCGTAGACTTGAAGTTTAGAAGTCACAGGAAACCTAGTCCTAAACAAGACGAAAAGGGATAAATCTCTACTCCTGCTCAAATAACCAGGGAGTTCCGTTAAAATATTGAAGTTTATTGTTTTCCTCTTGTATTCGAATAAGAGCACTTGTTTTGAGGGACAGCAAGTAAGTTCTTGTCATAAAAATAACAACACTTATCAACAACAGCTATGAAAACGGACATATTATTCTGGCCGTATTCGCTAATTATGTATATAGATCTACCTTTCAACAACTTTTCAACAGTTTTATATGTCAGAAAACATCATTTATAATAGCAGAATCACAATCCCTCATTTGGATCATTGCTACAGTCCACTTCTTTATGTGCCATGTTCCCTCAGGACGTAGGCGATCATGACTCTCCACGATTTCCAGTCGTTTGTGGTTCTTAATAATTTTTGTGTTTTTGTTAATTCTCCTAAGCTCTTTTCTGCCATCCATTTACTCAAGCTCACTAAGCAGATTATACTTTGTTTTCCCCTGTCCTTCTAGCCTTCCATCTGTCCTGTGAGTATCATATTTTCTACGCCCTCTTTCCTCGTTATGTGATCTAGAAATGTCAACTGTCTCTTCATGATGGTGATTATAAGTTCATTGTTGTTGCCATTTAATTATTCGGTTCCGGGTATCTTCAGCACCATTCTATAGAACGACATTTCTGTTGAGTCAAGTCGCCTCTTCATCTTTGAGGAGATTGTCAGCATTCACTGCCATATAGGAGGGCAGATATTCCGTAACAGTTTAGTACTCTTCTTTTTTTCACTTTCTTAATAGTCTGCTTAGTCTTGGGAGGTATCCCGATGAGCCTTCAAATTTTGGTGTCACACTTTCCGGCCTCTGCTAAAACACTTCCCAGATATTTCAAATTTTTGTGCTTGTTTGATTTTGGTATCTCCGATTTGTAATTCGCGCTTTGGGCTGCTCCCTTTGCTAATAATCATGCATTCTTCCTGCAGCTGAGATTTAATCCTTTTCTTCTCGCTTTCATTAATAAGTCTAAATAAGAATACAGGAATGATACAATAATAACATAACTTACATATCTTGTGATTTTTTAACGAAGCATGCCTTGCTCACTTTATAGGTCTATTGATATTCTGTTATCAATAGTAATTTATTCTTGGTAGATGTATGAAACATTAACTACAATAGCGTTAAAAATGTCGGATTAAAATTAATACGATTAATTCTTTATTAATTACTTTGTTTACACTTCGGGAACGTTAATGAGCATATATAAGCTTTTGAGAAAAAAAATGAGAATAAAAAAAATCTGGCGAAGAGTATATATATATATATATATATATATATATATATATATATATATTATATTATCGATTTCGTCACGATTCTTCTGTTAAACTTGGAGTGTAAATATTTTTATTGGTCAAAGTAATATATATATATATATATATATATATATATATATATATATATATAATATCAAAGCGTAGGAGAACAAACAGTAGGATTACATCGCTCAAAACATACCGTGATTCCCCACCTGATGAGACGTCTAAGGTTTTCCTTTTTTGACGTTGAAACAAAAATGTACAATTTTGTAGTGGATATGTGCATGCTGTAATGTAACACTGCATAATATATATATATATATATATATATATATATATATATATATATATATATTTGTGTGTGTGTTTGTGTGTGTGTGTGTGTGTGATAAAATTCCTCCCATATTTCTTATGAAGCTTAAAGAAAAACATGTCTAATGCGTTTCTTCCTTATTTATAGCATTCTGTCGTATTTTATTCCTATTTCCTCTCAATTTATATATCCGACTTTGATCGAAAAGTATCGGGATTTTTACTATAGTAACGAAGCTAAAGAATTATCTCGTCCCTTGCTATTTTTCCCACTTTCCAAAAAGAAAACCCGACTTAAATGGAAAAAATTCCTTGATGGAAACGACTCTTCTGAAGGGATACATTGTGGTCTAAATTACACAAAAATGATAGTAACATTGACATCTCTTTTAACCGATATATTTACCAAAATTACTCAAAAATATCGAAGTACTAATGAGTACATTTATTCAATAAAATCGCTAACCTCAGCCTCCATACGATTTTGGAATCTCCAGGATCTCTTCTGGACGGTCTCCTTGTTAAAGTTGGTGAATACTGACATTATCTTTGGTGTTAAGAGTTTTGTTGATCTCTCTTTCAACTGCGGACCACGCATAATACTCAAAGGGGTTGCAGTCTGCGGAGTTCGGTGACCAGATGTAAGGGTTGATGTGGTCGCTGTAATTGCCTGAAAGCAATGATTGGGTTCTGCTGTTTGTCTGATATAGTGCAGAGTCCTGTTTACAGACATAGAATCTTCCAGCAACTACTCTTTTGATCCAGGGGAGCAGTACCTCCTCAAGACACTTGATGTAGGACTGTGTTGAGTTTGGAGCTCTGGAATGGAGGCAAGACGTAGCTATCACTGGAGAACACTCCAAACACCTTCGTAATCACCATTAGACTCATCCAAATCTTTCCGAATACTCTGAATTTTCCTCAGATTGACACCCAAACATTCTGAAATGTTCATATTGGAGCCTCCACCGCCAATGACGAGCAGTAAAGCACACCGTGTCGAACTTTCTGGCGGAGTGAATTGCGTCATAGTGCTCTTTTTCCCACAAACGGTTTCCAACTGACCCCACTCTATTGTGCCGTCGACAAAATAAAAAAAACAAAAAAAAACAATAGAGACAATTTACCCATCGCGCTCTATCAAATATGAAACAGGAAATTAACTAAAAAAATACATTTTCTGTTTTAAAATGATCCTCTTTCTTGCCGCAACAACCCGATTATATGAAACTGATGACAGCGAATTTCTTATCATCGTATCAATTGCTTTCATATCGTTTTAACTTGAATAATGCTTATATTAAATCTAAACAACTCTCTCTCTCTCTCTTAGTAAGCAGGAGTTGTTGTTACATCTCAATGTTATTTGTTTATAACTGGAATTGCTGATTGTCGCTGGGAATTCCCCCTCCCATTAAAATTTAGGCGTGGTGTACAGATTCATATTATTTTTCTCCTCGATTCAGCTCTAAAAATCGACGAACGATAAGAGTTAAATCACTTTTTTACGTTTGATTTTTCGATTTATCGTTTCAAGGTAAACATTTCCCTTGTCCCATCTCACCTATTTGCGTACGTTATATATTAATATTTTCTTTTAACATATATATATATATATATATATATATATATATATATATATATATATAAAAAAGAATATATATATATTAAAAAAGAATATATATATATATTAAAAAGAATATATATGTATATATATATTAAAAAAGGATATATATATATTAAAAAGAATATATATATATATATTAAAAGATATATATATATATATATTAAAATATATATATATATTAAAAAAATATATATATATATATATATTAAAAAATATATATATATATATATTAAAAAGAATATATATATATATTAAAAGAATATATATATATATAAAAAGAATATATATATATATAAAAAGAATATATATATATATATATATATATTAAAATATAATATATATATTAAATATATAATATATATATATATATATATATTAAAAAAAATATATATATATATATATATATATATATATATATATATATATATATATATATATATACACACCTGTTTTAAAAAGTTTTCTTCAACTCTGTATCTCCATTTTGTTGATGACTAAGAATTTACAAAAAAGAACGTTCGTATCCGGTTGATAGATATGGCCATGTAAAAAAAAAAAGCTCGTATATTTTCTTGGAGGTGTGAATTCATTCTTTGCTACAGGTAGTGCTGAAATATAAACCGTTTCAACAGAAAAGACGCTTGTAGTTATACCAAATAACTGATGGTGACATGAAACTCCTGTAGAAGACAGGTCATAACTCATTGCTCGTTGGATTAAATAAAGCATTCTGTTCAACATTCTTGCAAGATTACAGAGTGTAACAGATACCAGTAGAACGAAGGAGGGAACAAAAACACACAGCGTCTGATAATCACAACAATGACTATGAAACTGGAGCGGAAGAATGAATTTTTTACACTAATAAAATCTCGTCTCCGATATACAAAATTGCATAAACATTTTTCTAAAGCAATGTCTCATATTTTCGATGGCTTGTGAAAAGGCGACGGAACATGGCGTTAATGACTTTAATACTGAATCTTTATTGCGTATCAATCTTTTTCTCGCGTGTAACTATCGAATTGAATTTAATTTAAATAGCCTTTGGTGAGTATCTATTTTCCACGCAAATAGTTTGTCAAGGAATTTAAACTATTATTATTGGCAGATCCTTAATATTTATGGACAGATCACATGATATTTCGAATGGTGCATAGTAAAAAAGATTTATGCTTAAGATATACTTAGCCTGGATTCGAATTCTGTAAAAAAATCATTCATTTTCAAACTGGTAAATTAAAGATTGCTATTGTTGTGGAAATGGTTGTTGTGTTTTATATATATATATATATATATATATATATATATATATATATATATATATATATATATATTGAGAAATGGACAAGGTCCGACAATTTATTTATTAAAGACATTTTTTTTAAATGTTTAACGTTAAAGATTTTATAAGTATTTAAGCAAATGTTATTTAATACTGTTTATCATAAACAGAGCATTTGCTTAAATACTTGTATCTATAAAATAACAACGTTAAACATAAAAAAATGTCTTTAAATAAATATATATATATATATATATATATATATATATATATATATATATATATATATATATAACATTCTTCTGGTATTATATTTTCCCTGAAACAATTATTGCGGATTCTAATGTGAGTCCGAATAATAAATGACCAACGCAAAAACAATATAATTATACGTCAATGCATGTATTAACAGAAGTATTACAATAAAGAGAAGATTTAAAGATTAATTACCTTATTTGACGGCATATAAGACACCCTTTTTTTAATAAAAATTTCTTTTAAAATACCCCTGCGTCTTATAAGCTATATGTAGGTTTAAAATAGTTGGCTGAAATTATCTACCTGGCAACTCCTATTAACTTAGACTTTAGAGTACCTTTCATATAACTATTGTCATTATTTAAAAGGCTATTATGTAGATTAAAAGTGTTATCATTGATAATATTCATTATATTAATTTTCATCATATTAGTACTTTGTTTCACTAAAATTATATGCAATAAATTCAAATTATATATTTGTAAAATATATTTACTTGCGATAACTTCTGGTCGCATTGGTATAAATACAATCAGAATTTTTATATCCTAATTATTCTAATAAGACGCAGATTGTACAGGTCATATAAAGGAAAAAATTTGACTGAAATTGATGGTAACTTTACTGTTTTGCTCAATTGTAACAATTGCTTGTTTTTGTTTTTTTTTTCTTACCTTTATAATAAAAAATTTTACGCTTGTGTTCTTTTTTCCTTTTATTTTTTGTTTAATTGTAATCATTGCTTGTTTAACCAAAATAATCTTACTTATTATAAAACGCAGATTGTGTGTGTGTGTGTGTGTGTGTGTGTGTGTGCGTCTGTAACGTTTATATATTGGATCGGATTTCCTACATTTTTCAACCGATTTCAACAAAACTTCACAGGACTACATAAAATTACCTTGTGGTGGTTCTAACAGCGCCACAAATGGGAAAAAATATAATTGTTTTTTGCACAAAATCAATTTGAAAACACGATTAAGAGACATCGTGAAAATGGGAGGGGACAACTCACATCGGGTTGTTTGTGTGTGGGGTTCCTTTAAATATGGGAGCGGATTTCCTATATTTTTCAGCCGATAAAACAAAACTTCACTTTTTTTTTTTTTTTTTTGGCAGGTAGTGTTTCTTATTCTCTTGCACACTTTTTTCTTTATTTTTAACATTCAGAATGCTTTAAAAAATCCATTTACAAGACAATTATTTATAATAAAAGTCTATTCAATTGGGAGACTCATAACGATTGAAAACAATGTTTTTGTTTGAGTTTGACCAATTCGTAAAAAAAAAAAAAAAAAATTAAGACATGCGTGTCCGTCAACCTTAAACAATAATCTAACGATCTCTACTGATTGTACGAATACAAACATCGAATAAATTCTTTATCTTTAAAGAAAAGATAATGAAATCTAAACATACACAATTCCTAACTAAAAATAATAACCGGAACGGGAAACTACTTTAAATACACATGGTGTCCAATTTTTTACTGTATTCAATAAGTAAAAATCATAAATTGTAAAAAAGATTATTATTACAGAAAGGCTACTAAATGAATAAGATTTGTTAGATCATAATTAATAAACCCAAATAAAGTTAATATTTTTTGTATTAGAAACAACGAGTGGAAAATATATTCAAATCAGAATTCTAATTATGAATCACCACAAGCAAAATATGCAATTTTTTTTACTGTATTCAATAAGTAAAAACCATAAATTGTAAAACTAAAAGATTACTGAAAGGCTACCTACATTTTCCAACCAGATTTCAACAAAACTTCACTTTTTTTGGCGGGTAGTGTTTCTTATTGTCTTGCACACTTTTTTCTTTATTTTTACATTCAGAATGCTTTAAAAATTCCATTTACAAGACAATTGTTTATAAAATTATTCTATGCAATCGGGAGACTCATAACGATTGAAAACAAAGTTTTTGTTTGAGTTTGGGTTTGACCAATTCGTAAAAAAAACACTAATTAAGACATGCGTGTCCGTCAACCTTAAACAATAATCTTTGTCAATATTATTTTTCAGTCTTTATGATGGTGGATACTTGATCTATCTCTTACTGTTATATCCCCGGGCAACGCCGGGCTCTACTGCTAGTACCTTATAAATATAGCCCAGGTTGTACCATTTACTAATAACAATACTAATTTTACTAATTACTATTTTTCTTGATTTGCTCTGCTGAAATTGTGATGCGTCTTATACACCCGTGCATCTTATATGCCGTCAAAGACGGTACATATCAAACATTTAAACAAGAGAATATGTTTGGGTGGAATTTGAGTAGGCCTACCCGATAGACTAGTGTGTGAAAGAGTAAAAAACGTCACGAGAGAAAGTAAGACATTGAAAATGAGCATATCCCAGTGGGGAACACTGTTTTCCCCCGTTAGACTGAATCTTATAGCCAGCGTTGTAAAAATGGAAAGAGAGTAGAGAGGAAAATGAATGCAGTTTTATAGGCTTAAGGAGCGTCTCCTAGCGACGCTTCTTTTTAAACAAAGTCAAGTGGAATAACTCACAATATGTTAAGTCAGAAGTAATTTCCGTTTTGGGGACCAATTGTAATGACAAATGTATCACCCTAATTACTAATCGTACATGTTAGTCAAATGGAGTACACTAACATAATAGATAGATAGATAGATAGATAGATATAAATAAGAGCAAACACGTGTACATTAACATAAACTAATGGTCATTTCAAATGTCAGCGAATTGATAATGATAAATCAAAACACAGTACCTCAAAAGCTTTGCTTCGTGGAAGATTGGTTGATTGACTGACCTGTCTTTTACGGACCTGTTGCGTTATTAACCTGGTCGGCTGAGACGTCTCCGTCAAACGAACAAAAACTGATCAAGCGTAGCAGAGATGGCATACATTTGAACGTGAAAATCCATAGTAGGATAATCAGTAAGAACTTGTAGGAATTCACAAGCGGTCCCCCATACAAAAATCGATTTTCTATTGATGCGACCATATTTTGCCTTTTCTGTGTATCTCCTATGAAGGTTACTGGATGTAAGTAAGGAAATAATAAACACAATGAATATAAGCGGGTTTTTTTTTGACATTCTTGGAAGATAAAAGAATTGAGCAGATAGCAGAAGAATTGCAGAACAGTCAAATGTTTTTGGAAACGAGACGGAAAAAGATAAAGAAATTGGTCTGGAAGAATCAGCTTGTAATAGTATCAACAGTCTGTCTCAGAAAATCATACAAAATGTAAAAACTTGTAAACGCTATCAGGCTTTAAAAAAAAAGAAGACATTAACAGTAGAAATATCTTTTAAGAAATAAAAAAAACAATATCAAAGCACAACACAACCAACAAGCAACTCAGTAACAGAACGATATAGCATCCGTGTATAGAAACTGTCAAACCTTGTGCAAAAAAGGCGGGAAGGCAAGCCCAGCAACAGACAAATGTAATTGAAGAATTTGCACCTCTGGATCGATAGTTTAATGGCGGCTGCCCGTCGAACGCATAAGACTTTGGCAAATTCGTCTGAAGTTGGCAAACGACGAAATTTTACGCTGTGCGTGTTGGAGCACATCTGTCAACATGAAAGACAGGATTTACGTTTCAAAGAGGAAAGGGCGGTGGGACAGATTGGAGGGGGAAGGAGAAAAGATGAGTACTGAGGAGGATTGGCAGGAGGAGAAGCGGGGAATGGAACAGCGAACAAGAACGAAACGAAGAAGAAGACTGATGAATCAATGATAGGGAAAAAGAAGCCAAAGAAATTTAAGGTCCATCTAGCATGGTGAAAGATACACCTCTGACCATTTCGGTGCGATCTCACAGACGTTTGCCTGGTTATTTCAACTTCTCTTTTGTCTCTTAATATTTTTGGTGATCATTTTTACACTGTCCATTCTATCTTCTAATCTATCTATCTTTGTCTATCTCTATCTATCAAATTCTTTCATATCTATGATCTATCTATTTTATCACTGTCCATATCTATCTATCTATCTATCTATCTATCTATCTATCTATCTATCTATCTATCTATCTATCAAATCTCGGTCTGTTCATATCTATCTCTCTATCTATCTATCCATCTATCAATCAAATCTCGTCTGTTCATATTCCTATCCATCTATCATATCAATCAAATCTGGTCTGTTCATATCTATGTTCTCTATCATCTATCTATCTATCTATCTATCTATCAATCAAGTTAAATCTCGTTCTGTTCTATCAATCTATCTATCTATCTATATCTATCTATCTATCAATCAAATCTGTCTGTTCATTATCTATCTATCTATCTATCTATCTATCATCTATCTATCTATCTATCTATCTATCTATCTCATTCTGTTCATATCTATCTATCTATTTTAATATCTATATCTCATTCTGTTCATATTCTATCTATCTATCTCTATTTAATTTTCAAATTATTTTATGTTAATGTATCTATCTATCTATTTGTTCTGTTCATATCTATCTATCTATCTATATCTATCTATCTATTCTATCTATCTACCTATTTTGTCTATCTATCTAACTATCTATCTGCTTGTGTATGTATTTTCTGATTGTCTATTATTTTCTATTATCTATCTATCTATCTATGTAGATCATTTTTATCTATATGATCATTTCTATCTCTCTAGTTTAATTTAAATTATTTTAGGTTAATGCACACGTGTTTCTATCTATCTATCTATCTATCTATCTATCTTATGTATATTGTGTTTTTTTCTTATCTATTTTTTTTCTATATGATCATTTCTATCTCTCTAGTTTCATTTAAATTATTTTAGGTTAATGCTATCTATCTATCTATCTATCTATCTATCTATCTATCTATGTTCATATTTAATTTCGTAATTTTTCCGTTATTTTAATAATTTTAAATCTTTTTATGCCACGTGATTCCCTAGGCCACCAATGTCCCCTATGTATGGTAACCTGTCCTATGTTTTTAAGACGATCCTATTTGAATTAAGCAGTAACTCTAAAAATTCCTTAGCATACTTCATTATTTTAGCTTTTCCTTCTTGTACCGATTACATTTGTCACCATGGTCGGAAACATGACTGAGTTTGGCAATAATAAAACCGCATTGCAGAATCCTTAAAGCGCAAGTGAATAATAATAATAATAATAATAATAATAACGATAATAACGATTATTATTATTATTATTATTATTATTATTATTATTATTATTATTTTCTTTGATTTCTGGCGTTTACTCATTTCTTTCCGGGTCCCGCCCAGGGACCTAAGGTTAGAAATGGCATCATGACACTTTCCACTGACAAAAAAAAAAAAAAATATTACATAGATAAAGCCCTTCGTAAAGTGTGGGCTGTACTTGTCAGAACAATTTTTGTATCTCCTTGAGCCATGGACTTCCAGGAATCCCTTCATTTAGTCTACTGCAATCTTTTCCAACCAGTCCTAGGGCTCCAACTACAACAGGGATTGTTGATGTTCCCATATGCCACATTTTTGATATTTCTATTTCAAGATCCTTGTATTTTGACATCTTTTTGAATATCTTCAAAGATACATTGCAGTCAGCAGGGACTGCCATATCAATAAGAAGGCAGCAATATCTGGGCGGTTGGCTTTGATAATAATAATCTCACAAGTGATTCGTCATGTTCTGTACACAAAATAAACAAACATAATGACATTGATAGATTTCTAAAAGAAGTTATTCTTGTTCACTCACCGAGGATATCTGAGAAATTATTGGATCATATAGCCAGCTAACAAAATGACCGAGGACAACGTCTTTGCAACATTACTTAGAGGATGTAAAACTATTTTAAGATCCTACGCAACGCTCATGAAGGGTTGCCATCATGTAACGTGTTTTCTGTGTGCTTTTTCTATAATTACTTTCCTGCCATTTATTATGATGAACTTTTCTCTGTGGTACCTAGACTTTAAGTTTTTAAAGACGGAGGAACAATGGGGTGATGGATAGAGGCTCGGACTGAATTCAAATCGAATCCATTACCTTCATTAACGTGCTAATAACTTTAGGAAATGTATGGATCTTCTTCTCCTTCACGCTGTGGGTAAATAGCAGTACAGACCGGATTCTATAGCCTTGGGTGGTAATTGGTCTATCGCAGAAAGAAATGGCCACCTACTACGGAAAAAAAAATCTGCCTCGTCAGTCATATATCGAAAGATACATGATAATCTACGCGTGTATCACGAATGGCATGTAACTGACTGGCTAGATTTAAGACTGGGTTGAATAATTTTCCAGTTGAAAAGGTAAGTTCTATGCTAATAATTTCTTCTCTCGCGCTTTTGGCTTGTGGAATTATTAGGTTGGTGCAAAAATAATGACGTAATGATGTCGCTTTTTGATGTTAAAAATACGTCCAAAAACGACATTATTTTTGCACCAACCTAATATCTTCCTGTTTCGTGCCTCCCAATAAAGTTTGATATTATGAATTTCTAATATTAAATGTTATCTTCTGATTTCTTCCTAATCTTTTATTTTTCTTTCTCTTTAATAGTGTTGCTTTTATGTCTCATATTCTCTCACTATTCTCTCGGAACTCATCTGGTTCACGGTCGACATTCAAATATCACACATGACTTCAAATGCTGCATGGGTAACTGTGACGACCACACCACAGTCAATGGCGTCAACCTGCCCGTTAAAGATGTGAAGGTAGTCGGAAATATTTTCCCACCCGACGGGCGAAAGTGGAACGCCTCTCCCGAACCTACAAGTGCCAAGCGGCCATAAGCCAGGATGGACGTAGGAGCTCTGACTCAGATGTCAATGGCTTTAGCAGTTGGCGGAGGAATATCTCCGGCCCATAAGGAACTGGCAAGTCATTGCATTATTTTGCCTTGTATGTCACTATCAACCACACTTGTAAGATCGAGGGAAGCGGTGACGCAAAATCAGCGCTCCTTAAACTCTGGATGTAAATGGGGTGGTGAAAAATAAATTCAAGCACTTGAAATTTAGTTTCAATGTTATTTCCCAAAAGCCCAATATTTAACATGATGGGTCACGCAAGTACTGCGGTAATAAAACGTGGGTGTGGCGCCGTTGCGACTAGGGCCGTGACAACGGACGTATTTTTAGTGTAGTTGCCTTATACCTGGAGGATCGAAAAATCTCGCCATGGAAAATAGTTTCATGAATGAAAAAAAAAAGTTTAAAAAGCACTGGGATAAATGATTAAATTTTCTACCTCTTGTGACTTATTGACTTTATTTCCTTGATTGGGGTGAAATGATTAAAAAATACGTTGCTTGTGAGAAATTAATTAATAGAAAAATAAATCCAGATACAATATAGAACGTGCATTCTCAATTACAAAAAAAAAGTACGGAAAGTAATTTCAGTATATATTTCCATATTTTATCTCTCCAGATTCTATCTATCTATCTATCTATCTATCTATCTATCTATCTATCTAATTTTGTTCATATCTATCTAGCTAGTTATTTTCTTATCAATCTACTTGTGTACAGCGAGTTATTTTCTGATCTATCTATCTATCTATCTATCTATCTATCTATCTATCTATCTATGTTGATATTTTTTTATCTATATAATCATTTTATCTCTCAAGTTAATCTATCTATCTATCTATCTATCTATCTATCTATCTATCTATCTATCTATCTATCTATCTATTCTAGCTAGTTATTCTCATATCAATCTCTCTACTTGTATATATCGAGTACTTTTCTTATTTATCTACCTACTTTAGCTCTACATATTATTCTTACTTTTGTTTTTGTTTTTTCACATGTGTATTGAGCAATTTTTAACATTACTGTTTCTTGGTCTGACGCAACTCTGACCTTTAACCTTTTGTGCATTCTATCTATCTATCTATCTATGTTCATGCTTAATTTCGTATTTTTCCGTTATTTTAAAAATAAAAGACAGGGTACGATAAAGTGGGGACATAAATGTTTATGGCACCCTGTCTTTTATTTTTTTAAGACGATCCTAAGTGAAGAAAAAGTTTTTTCTATGATATTAATTGATCAGTGTGGAATTTTTCAACTACAGCTCTTGGCAGCGTTTCCATAACAACATTGGCGATAACTGGTCGCCAGAATGTCCTATGTCATCCAACGAAAAGAAAATGTGTCTGCAACGTTGCAAAAACTTTAGGTGTTCGGGGCGACATCTGAGGAAATACCCATTCTTATTTACGTGAAGGAAGGCATTCATAGCCCTCCACAACTTCTAGTCTCTTGTAGCTCTTAATAAACTCTGTCTTTCTGTTGTATCTTCTAAACCCTGTTCCGTCATCTATTTACTCAAGATCCCTAAGTATGTTTTGCCTTGCTTTCCTCTTTTCCTCTTGATCTCTCACTGTCCCGTGAGAATCAGATTTTCCAAGCTCTTCTTCCTAATTATTGTTGTTCATGATGACGATCGTCTTTGAGTATAGAATCCAGAGGTTAGCAGTGAATATTTCGAAGACAGTAGGGAAGCGTAGTTCAGGTTAGCAGTGGATATCCCGGTAAAAGTAGCAGAGCGTAGTTCTTCCTTCTGTTCCTCTTCGCCTGACAAGCTAGCACTGGACATTCAGATAGAGTAAACAAAATGGCCGCCTTTATGCACGACGGATTGAATATTCTACGTCTTCTGATTGGTTAACCTTCTATTGGTGGACTATAAAGTGAGTCAAGTCATTTGGGTTAGCTCACTAGTTATATAATATACACAAAAACTGCAACAATTATGTGCTCCAGAAACTTCAACTGTCTCTTCCTGATGTTAAATATTAGTTTCATTTTTTGGTTCTATTTCCTTGAAAATTTGTCGTTGCTCACACGTAGAATCCTTGGTATTGTGACGACGTGCCCAGTTTGCCAGAGACTGGCCAGCATGATAACATCCAAGGTGGGTTGTATGCATTGTCCGTGATCGTAATCAACAAAAAAAAAACGACAAATGATTTCAAGACTCTCTGATTGGGAAATAGCAACAATACGGTTGCTCACTTAGCCGTCTATGTTTTCCTTCGGCTGAACTGCTATCTACCTATCTTCCGCTGGTCTCTACCTCCCTGGCCACCGAACATCTACTCACTTACTGGTCACCTACATAATTACTTGACTGCTGGATCCCGTTCTTGACTTCATGCCTCTCTCTTGTTATAGAGATAATGGCTAGGGTGCCACCACCCCTATCCGTCTGTTTTCCGGAACAAGAGACCGCATATTCGTTTTTTTTTGGCGGGTGGGGGGGTCAATTTCTTCAAAGGACTACTTTTATGATCATCCAAAAACATTAACAATATTTTATGTTTGCCAATTCAAAGACAGCTGGAGACAGAAATGATGAAAACTTAACATTTAATTTGACTCAAAGATGGACTG